AATGTGGATAAGCTGTTGAATTTATTGACAAGAGTTAGATCTACTAAGTTATAGTCCCCATGACAAATAGGTAAAGGTCCTAATGAAAACACTGAAAAAGGCTTCCCAAATGGCCTTGCCTTTCCAAGGTATGCTCTAGGGCAGTGGTCCCCAACCTTTTTTGTACCAGGGACCGGTTTCAAGCAGAAAATTTTTGCAAGGACGGGGGGGGGGAGAGAAGAGAAGGAGGCTTCGCTCTCTCGCTGCTCCACCAGCCCAGGAAGAAACTGCTTCAAAGAAGCGGGGGGGGTGGGCTTTTCCTGTCGCCGCAGCTATTCCGAAGCGCCCGTTTCTCCCCCGCCCGCCCGCGCGCGCTTCAATCCACAGTGTCCCGTTCTGCCTGCCTGCCTGCCTGCCTTAGTTTCTGGTTGTTTGGGAGCAGCTTCGGCTGAGAATAATAACTATTCGCCTCTTTTACTCAGCCGAAGCTGTTCCGATTCAACCATTAACGAAGGCAGGCAGGCAGGCAGAACGGAGCACTGGGTTGAACCCCGCGCGCGCGCGGGCGGGCGGACGGGGTGGGGGTGGGGGAGAAACGGGCGCTTCGGAGGCGCTGCGGCGACAGGAAAAGCCCCCCCCCCCGCTTCTTTGAAGCAGTTCCTTCCTGGACTGGTGGAGGAGCGAGAGAGTGACAGAGAGAGCTGACCCAGAGAGAAGGACAGGCTTCGGTTGCTTCCTCCCTCCCCTTCTTTCATTTGTGTCCTTGATCCCCGATCCCAGCAGCATTCACCGAAGGTGAAGAAAGCCGCCATTTTTTTAAAAAAAAAATTCTTTGCGGCCCGGTAGAGAGTGCTCCACGGCCCGGTACCGGTCCGCGGCCCGGTGGTTGAGGACCCCTGCTCTAGGGAATACATATGTGCTGTGAGTTGTGCCTTAATGTCTTACATTAATGATTCATAGTGATTTCAACAACTGTAAAATAAAGTGTGGCCACTCTGAAGCTCCACAGGAGATGCCCAGAATTTGAAGTAGATGAAGACTATATTTGATTCAAAGATGGGTAAGAGTCCATATTTGGAATTGCATTTATTGATTATGGCAATGAAACATTCGGATTCATGCACTAATGTTGGCTTTTTATAGAGAGGAGGTAGTTCCTTTGTCTTTGTAGGAGGCTTGGATCCAACAATCTTAGATAATTATCCTGTTCATTCCCTTTTAATGAAGGTTGCTCAAAAGTTGGTTAATAAGCAATTGGAGAGGATGATGGAGGAAGCTAATTATTTGAACCTGGTGTAGATTGAAATTTGATACCAAGATGTTTGTATCAAACATTGAAGAGCATTAAAGTAGTTTTAAATTAAGGCATATCTCTTCTTGTTTGATTTTAGTAATATTTCTGAGCATCAAAATATACATTTCAGGCAAAGTTTTCCAACCAGATTTTCTTATCCACCATTTTCATAGGAATATTCAAACTCAGGTCTTAATTCAAGAACCTTTTTAAAGATCAGTTAATAGATATACTATATATGCAATCATGCCTGGGTAAAAAGATATTTCTTCAGATCAGGGAGTTGTACAGTCCATAATTGAAACCTTGAGAAACTTATGGTTTATAGAGGGATCTCAGGATTCAATGGCAATCGGGATGTAATTGCCATTCCTAAGCAACACAGTCATAAAGTGTGATGTCACACGACCACATTGCTTAGGGATGACGATTCTGAAAGTATTGGTTGCCATAGTTAAGCAAGGACCAGGCTTAAGTGGAGACATTAAGTGAAGATCTCAAGTGATAGTGATTTCTGATTTCCTCTGGCTTCCTCATTGATTTTACTTGTGAAATGCCAGCAGGGAATGTCGAACATAATAATGTGACCACGGGTCACTTCATTATCATGATTGTGAGCCAGGTGCAAAGCACCCAGATCATAATCACATGACCACAGTAACACAGAAATAACCAGAACTAAGTCTCCCTTGTTCAGTGCCATCACAAGTTTGAACGGTCGCTGAATTCACTGAACCCTGAGATCACCTATATTGTACCTGGGCATAAATGACAGCTTCTATAAATGGTGCACAATAAAATGTTTGTTTATACATTTGTTGCACTGAAAATTCTATTATGAATACTGTATGCAATTGATAATACGCTCTTTCCCTCAAAGATCTGAATCCTGATGTGCTATCCGCCTGATCTTATGAAGAAAACACACTTGCTGTAGGTTAGAATCTTTGTTGTTTGTGGCGTGGATTGAGGTTTCTGATTATTTGTTACCTTACGATATTGGTGAAAGCTGAATCTGTGGATGGAGCTGCATATCTTGTTAGATATAACTCAGGGAAAAGGGAGAGATTAAAGACAGTTTGTTTCAGAAACCCATCTGTGCTAGTTCATAGACTGAATCATTGACTGTTGAAAGAAATTTCCATTAAAAGAAAAGATTACCAACCACAGATTACTAAGGGTAGTTACAACCTTTAAAGTGAAGGACTTGCATGTTACTACAATCAGTACAGAAGGAGATAAGAGTCAAAGTAGGATTAGTCAGAGATTACAGTAGCAATCCCTTAGATTACAGCATTGCATTGCATTATCAGTTAACAGATTTCTAAATGTTCAGATATTGGCTTTGATGCACCAAATGTCATGTGAGTTAAGATAAGGATTCTCTAATGCACTTGGTTTCAATACATGTTTGACAAAGAGTGCAACTGTCTTTTCCTTGAGCAGAAAGCAGTATTAAAGGCCTTCCACAGGAATGTAGAGAAAATATGGGAAGATAAGAAAAATATAATAGGATTTTGGGTATTCTTTGAGAGAGGTAGAATTGTAATTATCAATTCACTTAAAAAAACTGAAACATAATAGGAACACTTAAAGTATTTCCCTTTAGGGATTTGGTAAGATTTAAAAATATATCTGCTACCAAAACTCATAAACTTCTATTAGTTAATAAATCTTTAACTCTTTTTTAAACCCTCTGCAAGGCATCAGGAATGTATATGGAAAAATGAACAGCATATGGTGATAGAGACCTATCCTCACAATTCCTCGGAGTAAATACTTTTCTAAAACTTTGCAAGCTGCTGAAGGTTGTTGTGAGGAAATTTTTAACTGCCTCAGATCCCCCTCAAAATGCATTAATATCTTAGCAGGATGTTGACATTTAGAGTTTATGGGTGTGTCCCTGTCATCCCTTTGTGAACTCTTCAGAAGGCATGATGGATGTGTGTAGATACCAAAAAAAGGCTAGAGGGAGACAAATAATGCTCTCCCCAAGGACAGAATCTTATTTTCTGACTCCTTATTATTGCTCTCTGAATTTAGTTGTTTGCTTCCCTGAAGATGCTACCTAGGTCGGTAATAAAAGGTCAGCAAGCAAACAACTAAGCTTAGAGGGCGCCAAGGATTCAACAGTTCTACCCTGAACTACTGTACATCTCTTCTATTGGAATCTCATGTATTTGCCCTCACGGGGACTATGGGCAAATGTGTAACTGTCCATTGTGACTGTCCAAAGAAGTTAGGCTTAGGATTAATACTTGTTGACAATTTTCTAGCTGTGTAACATGTATTTTTAATTTTTGAGAAAAGACATATGAAAAACTCTGACAGATTTTGGTTTCCTCATCAAAATGCTTAAACTCTTTTGCTCCAAAGCATGATCAATAATAAAACAGTTCTGTAAAAGATGGCTGAATCTCTCTCTCTCTCTCCCCTCCCTCTCCCTGTCTTCCTCTCCCCCTCACATTCTTTTGCAGCTTGAAATGAATTTGATTTTGAAAATTCAAAAAAGGAAAATTAAAATAGCTTTAAAAGCTTAAGGTACAGGTATATGCTATTTACATCCAGTTTTTAAAGTAACATCTTGTTAGAAGCATTAGAAGTGTTTTTCAAACAAAATACTCCATTTATAAACCAATAGCCTAAACTAAAGATTAAATTGCAACTCAACATTTTTAGTTTCTCATGAAACATACTTAAATATCAGGACATCCTTTTATATTTGACAAATAACACAAAGACCATAGGCGTACTGATTTTATAAAATGCCCCTAAATCCAAATACATTTAACAATGTAATATTATGCAAGTATCCTCAGAAGTGAACTGCACTGGAGTTCAATGAAACTTCATTCAAAATAATTGGGATAGGACTTAAGCCAAGAACTGTTGGCTGACCCCAGTGAAGCAAATTTAGGCAGAATCTGAGCTTCATTACTGTCAATGGAATGTAAGCATGACTAACATGAGTGGCTTTGACAGATTAACATCCAGTGGTTCATTCATGAACCAAAACAATGGTTCACTACAATGCTACCCAACCTTCAGTGTGAATGAAGCTTGCAGGACAGATTTAGCATTACATAAATGTTATAGTTGAAATAGCAACTATCAGTCAGCAGTACTTCAGAAAGAGATTTCTTAGCTTCCCATTCCATATGGATTAGCTACAATAGGATACTAGTGTTATCCTTAATAGGCTAATTTAAAATAATTCATCTTCCTATGTTGTCATTTGCTATTGGAATATAAAATCTGAATATAATATAAGAAATACATACAGAATTTTTTGTTATCCTGTCAGTGCATTGCGGGAAGCTAAACTCTATAAACTTCGAAATAACTTTTAAAAAGAGCAATTCTATGCATATTTATTTAGCCCAATGTATACTACAGTATGTTTCTTTATATTAGACCTGTAGAAAGCATGTAACAAATTACAAGTTAGTCCTCAGCTTATGACCACAATTGAGACCAACATTTCTATTGCTAAGTGAAGCATTTGTTAAGTGAATTTTGCCCCATTTTACAACATTTTTCTTACCACAGTTGTTAAGTGAATCACTGCAGTTCTTAAGATAGTAACACGGTTTTTAAATGAATTTGGCTTCCCCATTGACTTTGCTTGTAAGAAGTTTGCAAAACGTGATCACATGACCCTGGGACACTGCAATCGTCATAAATATGAGTCACTTGGCAAGTGTCTGAATTTTGACCCACGACCATGGGGATGCTGCAACGATCATGTGAAAAATGGTCTTAAGTCACTTTTTTCAGTGGCATATCTTTGAATGGTCACTAAATGAACTGTTGTAAGTCAAGGACTACCTGTATTTCTACAGGTATGAGGGTATGCTCTGTCGTCAGATTGAAACACTCAAGAAGACATTTGGGGAGATCTTACTACTGGCCCTCAACAATTGCTAATATGAGGCAATTGCTTCCTTCTGCCTAATGATAGAGCCAGCTGAATATCTGACAGGGCCACTTTTTCAAATTTGTTTCTTCTTGTTCAAAAGTAGAAATTGTCCCTAAGTCAGTGTTTCTGTTTTCAGCTGGCTGGAAATGGTAGTACTGAGCTATGCTGCTTCATCCAGAAAGGTATCAGATTTACTTTAAATCAGGGCTGTCAAACTCATGGCCCACGGGCCAGATGTGTCACGCTGGCCACGCCCACGTCCAGTTTAGCAAAGGGGGGAAAGCCCCATCGCATGACGCCACCGTGATGACCTGTGTTTGACACCCCTGGTTTAAATTGTCTTAAAAGTGTCATAAAATTGTTCCTTTTCCACAAAAAGACAAATGATTAGTAGAAGTGTGAAGTCAGGCTTATAAAAGATGAAATCCAGAGCATTAATCTGATGTTAAGAACTGGGGAGATCAATGCACCAGATTTTCATTCCCTCTAGTAAATAGCTCTTCTTTACTATATTTTTTCCCACCTTTATTATTGCAATAAGTAAGACAACACACATAATAACCCTCCCTCCTCCTTTTTATGTGACTTTCAACTATTGGATAAGGGCTAATGCATGCTGATATGGGAAATTGCATTATAGAAATGATTTTTGACACAGGTGATGATGAATTGATGAGCAGCAAAATAATATTTTAGGCACTGAAGTGGTGGCAGAGACTTGCAGCTCAAAAAGACAGGTGTTTTAATGTTAGCAAGTAGAATGGCGCACCATTGAATTGTGACTGGAAGGAGAAATATCCTGCACTAGTTTCTCTTCCCAAATTATTTTGCTACAGGTAAGTGGCTGCATCGTGTCAGTGATATGATCAAAACTTAAGCTGTAGTCATTTGGCTCAGCTGTGTCCAAAAAGACAGGTCCCTTGCTTCTGTTTCCAGGGTAGAAACTGTAAGTGAAAACAATATCTCTTTAGCTGGGAGACAAGAATTTTTTTTTACTATTACTGTATTTTGCTATTTACTTTTTAAAACATAATTATGTAACTAATGTAAAATAAAAACACATTTAAGATGTAGCATTCCATTTAAAGTATCAATAAAATTAAATAGTTAATATATAGAGAGTAAGGAAGATGGAAGTGATGGAAGATGGAAAAAACGAGATGTTGCCTACGTAAAAAGGACTGAAGTGTTTAAGTTCTGAAGTTCTAAATAACTTTCAGAAGTGGTTCAGGCAGACAGCTCCCAAAGTCATTGAACTATAATGAGAAGGAAGGGGTACAGCAAAATCAGACTTGCAGGATTCTCTCAATCTCAGTAAAAGTTTTAGCCTTCTTGTGGAGCTTTTAAGAAAGACATCAATGGCAACAATAGTTCCTCCTGCAATCTATTCAGTAGTATCATTGTGAACAGAAGTTACTTGGGAAGTGACAGCCTTTCAATAGGCAATATCAAGAAACACACCTCAGAAATTCCAGAATTGCTCTTTTAGAATAGCAAGATCTTGAACACCTATCAGTTTTTCTCTGCCTCATCTTAAACCAAACATAGGCAATAGGCATACTCAATTATTTTGAGTTTCTTTCTCATACCATTCTCTTCCCAGGACTTAATATTATGTTTGTATAGTTAACTTCACTGTTTTCATTCTTGTTTTATTATGATACATTTTGATTTTTGTTCTATCATATTATGATATATTTTCATAGAACTGTTTACCCTTCTAGGGCACCCGTTAAGTTGAAAATATTTTTAATAAATGAAAGAAAGAAATACCTCCCCAAAGTTTGCTTTGGTCTGAGGCCAGTCCATGTAAAACGTTTTAGCTGTTTCAAAGGCAGAACCATTCTCTCCTCAGCTTGATAATTCTGAAAGAGAATACCATTCTGATTATGAAGTTTTAGACTTTCTTTATAACATTGCCAAGCCTATCTTGATGCATAGAATTTCAAAATATTAAACTTTGTTTTGTAAAACATAGAAAAGATGGGTTTATTGGCAAGATTGATAGTTGCATTGCGGTGAGAAATTTTTTGTTTATTTCATGTCCGGATCAAACAAACTGCCCAAATGAGGCAACCTTTTTCATTTTATCAATGGCCAGAAACAAATAACTTTGTTTTTTCTGATTTGTGTGGAAAATGATCAATAGTCAATGGATGCATTTTGCTTGGTTGAACTTGTGTTCATTCCTCTTATTTATATCTATAATATGATGGACCTTTGATTTTTATGCCTAATATATGGCTCAACAAATATATAAACTAAGTTCTTTGCGTTTAGATTTCAGTAAGAGCTTTATGATCTCCTGAACTCTTTCCAGGCTGCTGTTAAAATATTGAAACAGAAGAAAGAAAAAATCAACTGCATCACAACTAGTATCTTTTCCAGAAACTCTTTTAAAATTATTTTAAAAAAAGGGAATTTGTAATGAGAATGGTGGCTTTGGTCCAGCCCCAGGAATGATGGAGAAAGGGGAAGAAGGAAGCAAGAGAAATTAAAATTCTTCTTTTTCTGGTGTGCTGGAATCCAGCCTGGAAACCCTTTTGAGGGACAGATTTTCTAAAGAGTTACAACAAGCCACGGTTTCCCCAAATCCTCCTTTCTTTACCACTGCTTAAGCAGTCTCTTACTTAAAGAGGAAAGAGCAGGATTAGAGGTTTGAGAGCTAGCAGTTATATATTTGGGAGATCCAGGTGGGTTCAACTATTTCCTATTCCCAATCCAATTCAAATTGGATTGTGCAATATTAATGCAATATCAGGGGTTTTCAATTCAGTGTATAGAATGTGAAGGATGTGTGTTTGTGTTTATTTTCATAGTTATAATGTACACTGAAGATGGTATTTTGTTGTACGAGGTGCAATGACAATAAAGTAAACCAAACTAAACTAAACTAAAAGTTATGATGACCTGTTTGTCCACTTTTAGCTCCTAGGATAAGAGAACCATTAAATAAAAATATTTTTTAATCATTTTTCTAGTTGACAAGAAATAAACCAACCCTGATATTTATGCTATGTGTTTCAAGAAATTAAAATAATTGTACAGATAATCCTCGGGTTATGATTTGTTCAGGGACCACAGTTATGATGGCATTGAATGAGAGGGTTTTATGACTGGACCTCAGAGTTCTGGTTGTCATAGCATCTCTGCAGTCACATGACTGCAATCCAGGCACTCAGTGCTTGGCTTGTGATTACATCACAGGTGCTCTCTGTAGCACCTTTCCATGATAACTGTGTACCTGCCCACATTCCATAGCATATGTCATGTAACACCCATTTGTGATCTGTAGTGCTTACCTATAACACTTCCCCACACACATACAGCTCTCATGCCTAGCTGTCACTTGCCAGCCTGCTTGCCTGGAACTCCCAACTTTTCCTGCTTAATGATTTGCATAGTCATAGGTGTTACCATAGCAACTGGGACTGCCAGGATTGTTGCCGATAAGCCATGCAATTAAGTGATGTTGCACTTTACGACCACATTCCTTAGCAATGGCAATTCCAATCTCAACTGCCGGCATAATAAGCCGTGATGATGCAGTGGTTAGAATTAGCAGTATTGCAGGCTAATTCTGCTGACTGCCAGAGTTCAGTTCTCACTCAGCCTCCCATTCTTCTGAGGTTGGTAAAATGAGGACCCAGACTGTTGGGGGCAAAATGCTGACTCTGTAAACCGCTTAGAGAGGGCCATTTAAACAACTGTGAAGTGGTATATAAGTTTAAGTGCTATTGCTATCTCTATAACCCAAGAACAACCTGAATGAAATTATTCTTCCACGCAACAGCTGACTGTTCTTGAGGAAATTAAAAGTATCTCTCAACATTTCTTTGTCTTCCATTCATCAATTTAGGACTGAATCCAAAAGAACTATTGTGCCACCTATTTTGGGACTTACATCAGGCTGAAACGTGTGCTTAGATGAAGTTTCTTCAAAGACTCTCTGGAATGGTTTCATCTTGAAAGCATGAACATATTTTCTTTGAAAGTGAACAGGGGAAAAAAGCTTTTTGAGATAATATCAATTCAAAACATTATGATATAGTAAGCTACGTGTGAATATTTGATCACGGATGATAGCATAAATATATGCCTGATACTTTTTACTAATTATAAAAAGAATGTTCACAAATTTTATTTGATACAAAGAATATCAAGTTTTTACCAATCCTGCATAGTTACTATTTTTATATGACATTTATTTCCTGCTCACCTGGAATACCTGCTGTTTTTACATTTTCTGTTTTATCATATTTTTGTATGTCTCTTTTGGTGAGATTGGTGGCTGTATATTTAATATAAAAATAAAAACCACCTAAAAGCATGCAAGCCTAATTTTGAGCTGAAGCACTGGAGCTGCACAAAGTTAGAGGATGGGCTGTTTTACCACTGGTAGAATCTCTCAGCTCTTGAACTCTGCCTGCTATCTGCAGAGTTACCAGCCACCGCATCTATCAATGCTGAACTCCAGTTTTACAGGGTTTTTTTTAATGGTGAGCAGGAATGGTACTGTGCCAACTTTTGTGATTGCAATGAACTTTACAAATTATTAAATACAATACTTAAGGTTACAGTTCTGCTCCAGACTTGATCTCCTTCCATTTGACTGTTAGTTTGGTAATGATCTTTCCTCCTGTCCATCAAGGCCATCCCTTTTGCCTTCTACAATTATGCCCAGAAAATATCTTGTTTGTACGCTTCCCAAATACATTCATGAAGGAAATCGGATTCATTTATGCATTTGATTTATGGTTAAAAACCAAAAGGTCATTTGTTCTGATCCATCCAAGCTCTTCTTAAAATGGTCAACAAACTGCATTTTCTAGATCCAATAGCCAAACCACACTGTTATTCAACTATTTTTAATATGTAAAATATCCTGACATTTTATCTTACCCCAAAATTTCAGCACTTGCATTAGTCAAGGCTGGTACTGAACTGTTTTTTCTCTCATGAAGATCAGAGGAACTTGGAGAGCAATTGTCAGACCCAGTATCCTCTGGCACTAGAGTATTCAAAGGTATGTAATCTTTGCCATCCTATGAAGACAGAAGGAGAAAGTGGTGAAACTAATTGCTATATAAGCAATGTAAAACACCTATATTACAAATATGTAATAGGTTTTTAAATTTCTCTACATTCATCTCACAATTAAGCTGAAATATAGTATAATATTTAGTTTAGCTCCCTTGCATTCAGAATAATCGTATGGCACAATCAACACGGGGACTGATGCATTCTGAAAGCATTTTTGGATGATATGTTTTTTAAAAAATGTTTCAGAATAGAACTTCCCATAATAATATACTTTTCTGTACACAGGGTTAAAATGTATGAAAAAGGTCTTTAAGTATGTCACCTGTTATTTGAACTGCCAAATGATAAAACCATTAGAGTTGCATCTTGTGAATTGAATGTGAAGCTCAAAGATGGATGAATTGACTAAATCTGCATTGAATCTTATGGACAAGCAAGTAGCTTATTTCTGGAAAATATCATGGCACCAGCTTCCATGATGTTTGAATCTACTCAACTTCAGCCATGCAGATTGTTTGCATGCTGCTATAGCAACACTAAATCTTACTTCTAAGAGAGAAGTATGAGGAAAGTGGATATAGTTTCCACAATTTGTTCAAAGAAAAAGCTATACAAGATACATCACAGTTTTCTACATACCTGTTGTACAATAGCCTGAAGTAAGTCCCCTAATATTTCCACCAGCTCTGAGAACCATGGTCTTTCATTTGGATCTCCTTGCCAACAGTTAAGCATAATATGGTATCTGGCAAAGAAAACAAACAAGCAGAAGAATTAAAAAAGGGATCACAAGCTTTACTTCTGCAGTGCCTTATCTGAAGTGTAATCCATTTCATTTTGTGGCCATTTTTAACCCTAATCCTTAGGTATGAGCTCCATTTTTTAATTGATAAGTTATATGGCTTTTCTTTTTTAACAATTTTAATTGAATTAATTGTCATTGTAGTTGAGTCTTTCCATCTGACCGTTGGTCATTGTCTTATCTTTCCTTCTACTTTTCTCAACATCAAAATTTTCTCCAGATAGATAGGTCTTTGCATAATATGTAAAAGAATGATAATTTGAGCCTGGTTATTTGTACCTTGAGTGAGAACTCTAATTGGATTTGTTTGAAGAGCCATTTGTTTATTTTTTTGATTATACATGAACTTTCCAAAAGAGAAAGTAGTGAAAAATGCATTATATACTTTGGCTCTGTGATAGTTTCAGGAGAAAAACATTGATTTTTGTTGTAATGATTCCATAAGGCTGTTTAAAATGTAAGATGGGAACAAAATAAGGGCAGGATACAGTTAGAAACATTGGAGTTAATGTGATGTTCTGTTGCCAGTATAAATTTCAAGCAAGGAAGGACTTTAGTAGGAATTTGAATCTTGCCTACTGCATCATATTTCAATACTATAATTATCTAAAAGCTTTTCTAACTTAGTGAAAGCCTTCCAAGTACTGGCTACACTTTTCCTCATATCAGTCTTTCATGTGTTCCAAATTTATCAAGTCTCTGTACTGATTTTCAAGCCAAACATCAGCAGCTACTTCAGATACCGTATCTGTATCTGATAATTTCTGATCTCTTTCTTAAACTTCTGTTATTCTTTTAGCATACACACAACCATTCACCAGAGCCAGGCAGAAAAACGAACTCCATAGTTTTGCCATTAAACAGCTATCCATAAATTTTATCATGTATTTGCATTGGCTGAGCATTCTTGGATGTTGGAACATACAGGAACAAGATATTGGCAGAGTGTATTCTGCTGCATATGTGCATTGTTGGATATTTATTAAGAATCCCATCTCTCCCTTACAGCAGACTCCGGGGGGGCTATAAAAATCATATTAGAAGAATATGGCCAAAGCCTAACAGGGTTCCCATAGTTGTTTGGGGGAACTTATATGGTAAATAGTGACTCTTTCAGAAGTAGGTTCAATTGGATTTGTTGTTTGTTATCATGACTGGTGATTTTCTTAAATTGTCCCCAGTTATGACAGCTTTAGAATTATGACTGATTCCAGGGTGACAGAAAAAAAAATGTAAAACAAGGAAGAAACAAGGAAGTACAATCAATCATCAACAGAAGAACCATGTGCTTTATATTTGAGATACCAGCAATACTCTGCAAGCTCAGTCTCAGAATCAAAATTTAAAAATGCGAAGGAAGGGAAGTTACATTCTCTCTTCCTTTTGGAACATTTTAAAAGACTTTCCCATTTTCTTCTCTCTAGTTTGCAGAAGATGCAAAAAAAGATTATAGCAATAGCACTTAGACTTCTATGCTGCTTTGCAGTGCTTTAGGTTTCTGTCATATCACAAGACCTAAAATGGACACCTAACATCAAAAACGTCATCAAAAAAGCACAACAAAGAATGTTCGTTCTGCGCCAACTCAGAAAGCTCAAACTGCTCAAGGAGCTGCTGATACAGTTCTACAGAGGAATTATTGAGTCTGTCATCTGCACCTCTATAACTGTCTGGTTTGGTTCTGCAACCCAGCAGGACAGACACAGACTTCAGAGGATAATTAGGACTGCAGAAAAAACAATTACTACCCACCTGCCTTCAATCAAGGACCTGTATACTGCATGAGTCAAAAAGAGGGCTGTGAAAACATTTACAGACCCCTCACATCCCGGACATAAACTGTTTCAACTCCGTCCCTCAAAACGACGCTATAGAGCACTCCACACCCGAACAACTAGACAAAAGGACAGTTTTTTCCTGAAAGCCATCACTCTGCAAAACAAATAATTCCCTCAACACTGTTCAACTATTACAAAGTCTGCTCTACTATTACTGTTAATCTTCTCATCACTCCTTATCACCCTCCCACTTGTGATTGTAGGACTGTAACTTTGTCGCTTGTATCCTTACGATTTATACTGACTGTTTCCTAGTATGATTTGATTGTTGATTGTACCCTATGACTATCATTAAGTGTTGTACGTTATGATTCTTGATTCTTAACGAAGGTATCTTTTCTTTATGTATACTGAGAGTATTTACACCAAGACAAATTCCTTGTGTGTCCAATCACACTTGGCCAATAAAGTATTCTATCCTATTCTATTCTATTCTATCCTATCCTATCCTATCCTATTTTTTACAGCCCTCTCTAAGCGGTTTTACAGAGTCAGCCTATTGCCCTCAACAGTTTGGGTCCTTATTTTACCCACCTCCGAAGGATGAAAGGCTGAGTCAACCTTGAGCCTGGTGAGATTTGAACTGTCAAATTGCAGGCAGACAGCAGACAGCAGAAGTAGTCTGCAGTACTGCCCTCTATCCACTGTGCCACAGTGGCTTTATATCTTCCCTTCTTCCATTTTACTTTTAAAACAGAAAGGAAATGTTTGAATTAATCCTTCTCTGCCATTGTCCCCACTTAAGTCTACATGGAGGGAAGTAAGCAGTGAGGTGCCACAAGGTTCTGTCTTAGGCCCAGTACTCTTCAATATCTTCATTAACGACTTAGGTGAGGGAATAGAAGGGGAACTTACCAAATTTGCAGATGATACTAAGCTGGCAGGAATAGCTAATACCCAAGAAGATAGACTCAAGATCCACATGGATCTTGACGGACTAGAACACTGGGCTGTATCTAACAAAATGAAATTCAATGTAGAGAAAAGTAAAGTCCTACGCTTAGGCAAGAAGAACAAAAAGTACACATATAGACTGGGTGAAACCAGGCTCAATAGCAGTAATTGTGAGAGGGATCTTGGAGTCTTAGTGGACAACCAGCTAAATATGAGCCAGCAGTGTGCAGCAGCAGCCAAAAAAGCAAATGCAATCCTAAGTTGTATTAACAGAGGGATACAATCAAGATCAAGGGAGGTACTAATACCACTCTATAAAACCTTAGTAAGACCACACCTAGAGTACTGCATCCAGTTCTGTTCACCACATTACAAAAAAAGATTTTGAGACTCTAGAAAAAGTACAGAGAAGAGCAACCAGGATGATTAGGGGACTGGAGGCTAAAACATACAACAAACAGTTGCAGGAACTGGGCCTGGCTAGTCTAGTGAAGAGAAGGACCAGCGGAGACATGATAGCGGTCTTCCAATATTTGAGGGGCTGCCACAGAGAGGAAGGGGTCAAGCTATTTTCTAAAGCATCTGTAAGCCAGACAAGGAATAATGGATGGAAACTGAACAAGGAGAGATTTAACCTGGAAATGAGAAACTTTCTGACAGTGAGAAGAATCAACCAATGGAACAGCTTGCCCTTGGAAGTTGTGGGAGCGTCACTTTCAAGAAGATATTGGACTGCTATTTGTCAGAAATGGTGTAGGGTCTCCTGCTTGGGAGGGGGGGTTGGACTAGATGACCTACAAGGTGCCTTCCAACTCTGATTATATGTTATCTTTGGTACATGGCCTTTCAGAAGATTGTTAAGACTTGGCTCTGCCAATTAGCATGGAGGCCTAAGTGTTTTATGCGATCCTGAGGATGGTGGATTGGCTTGAGGATGGTCCCTCCGCCTTATAAACCCCCTTTAACCTTCTTAATTTTTTAACTTTGACTTTTTACTTTTAACTTATTTTAATCTTGGGTTTTTTTTAACTCTGTTTTTAACTGTGCTTTTTAATCACATTTTAATATTTTATGATGTTGTAAACTGCTGAAAATCACTTAGATGTAATGGGCAGTGTAGAAATTTGATTAATAAAATAAAAATAAAAACCATAATCGTAGATATGAAGCATATACATTTTGTCTCATTCTCAGCTCACTGTGAATAGAGACTGTATATATTCCTTTCATTGATTTAGTTTAAAAATAATGTTTCCTCTTTTTTTTTCTTAATGCAATCCCTACTGTATGTGCTAACTGATGGATTGTCCTATGGATTTCTTGGAATGTAGAAGTTAGAAACAGGGTAATTGATAAGCATTATTCCTGGACATAGCTCTGATCTTTGGTGGCCCCTTCTAAAACCCCGGGATGTTGGGTATTTTTATGTGCACCTTAGAACCAGGGTGCATATTCCAAACAAAAGTGCACAGACACAGACACACATACATTTCTGGGGTTGCATAATCCGGAGCTTTCATGCGTATGCCTTCTTTTAACTTTCTGAAGAAGACTTCATCTATTTGTATACCAAGATATGGGGATGCACCTAAAAAAAGAAGAATTAAAAAATGGAATCTTTAGAATTAAGTAATTAATTCCCAAATTCATATTTTCATCTGACCGGTTTTTTTTTCCTCAGAAAGCAAGGAGTTAATTCAGAGATAAAAGCTGCCCTAGAAACATGGACTAGATGACCAGAAGATTGTTTGTCTAAGGAACTGCTTAGCATTGACTGGTTTCCTCTGCTGTTGTGTCTGTCTCATCTGCCATTCTTCTTTGATGAATGAAATTGTTGCTTCCTTTGCAGGAGGATTTTGTATCCTGCATTTTTCCTTTTAAAAAAAAGAAAAAAAAAAGAATGCAATGCCTCAGCATTCTCATCTTGAATGCCTTCTACTACTTCAGTCTGGGATATTTTGGTGTTTGTCTTGCATGGTGAGTTCCATTGATCAGTACAGAAAGGAAGCAGCTGTGTGTGCCAATGGTCCAGTATTGTGTGACCCAACGGGCTAGTAACTGTGGTTGGTTGTTATGACCTTCCATCTCCTCCCCCCCTCCCCCGCTCCATCCCCTATCTCTATGTCTAGAAGGATCTGTTATCTGACACCATCATTTTGAGATCAATGCCTTTGGGGGGGGGGGAAATGTTGGGACGTGGCTTGGCAGCAGCATTTGAAGACAGCTATATTATTTTACTTGGTTTCTTATGTCTTTGTCTTTCAAGTTGCTAAAATGTATCACAGCTTCTCTTTTAAATAAAAGAAATAGGAACAGCTAGCTTACAATTTCTACTATGTCTTATTCAGCATGGGATGCCAACTGGGGAGGATATGAATTTTAGCCCAGCATATATGCAGGTTCTGACCATTTCTGGAGAACCAGTAGCGGAAATTTTGAGTAGTTCAGAGAACCAGCAAATACCACCTCTGACTGGAGATTTTACAGTAGCCTTCCCCTGCCACGCCCACCAATCCACGCCCACAGAACTGGTAGTAAAAAAATTTGAATCCCACCACTGTATATGATTAGTCCAAAGTGGACTAGCATTGAGAGCAAATTAGGAAATTTAGGTCAGAAGATTGTTTTCACTTGATAATAATTCCTAAAAGATTGTGAGTGATATAATTTAATAGTAGAAGATTCCTCTTCCCAACTTAGAGCTATCTTAGTGTTAAGATAAAACTCATCTGAGAATTTGGAGATTGTGAATCCTAACTCATCTACAGGTGCCAGGAAAATGAAGGGGAATTTAAAATGTTGATTTGCCACCTGTTACAGTGTTCTTGCAAGTAATCTATTTGCATAATGAGCTATTATAAAATCATGAGTAATTATATGTGTATTTATTTTATTAATGGATTTAAAATATGTTAATTTATATATATAAATTGTTATGGCTGAATTAAAACTTCTTAGATAGGCTGCAATCCCGTATTATAAAAACTTAATTGAGGACATTTATGAATATCAAAAGTAAACCACTCAACCCAATACTCAGCTTTTACCCTCAACCACAACCCTACCTCAACCCATCCACCATCACCCAAGACTAGGCACGCACGCCCCCAACTACCTCAATTCCAACTACTGCCGGCCTTAAATGCAAACTACTCAATGCAAGAAGCCTCGTGAATAAAATACCTGAATTTCTCTTCCTCCTAAATATGGCTAACTTCGACATTATATTTGTCTGTGAAACATGGCTCAATGCATCTCTCCCCGACTCCATTACCACAGTAAGAGACTATCATGTTTACAGATCAGATCGTGAAAATCGTCGAGGAGGTGGAGTTGCTATATTCTATAAAAAATCCTTACATCTAAAAAATATCCAAGTTACCCAGGAGTTTGCCCTTCCTGAAACCATCATCTGTGAACTATCCTCAAATATCACAATTCGATTCTTACTATGTTACAGAGCACCTGATTATGACATCGAACATGTAAACAAGCTAAATACATTACTAACATGGGCTGCATCCTGCCCATACCCTTTTATCCTTCTTGGTGATTTCAATCTACCTCATATTAACTGGACCCTAAATGATTGTACAACTGAAATCATACACACAACCTTCTACAATGCTATTACAAATCTGGGACTGGAACAACTAGTAACCAACAACACTAGACTAAACAACTGCCTCGATCTCATCTTCTGCAACAGTTTGAACCTAATCTACGGAATACAATCTAAAGAACCCTTTTCCAGTAGTGACCACAATATGATCGACTTTTGTCTCAACATACATCCACACAAAAATCACCACAATGATGTAATCCCCTATTGTAACTTCAAAAAAGGCAACTATGATCTTATAGACAACGATCTCTCATCCCTTGATTGGCAATCTCTATTCACTGGATGCAATACTGTTGAAGACCATTATAACATATTTTTACTTGAAGTCAAAAGAGTCATCAAACTATATGTACCAACAACAACTCCCAAAACAAAACAAAAAAGCAGATTACCCATATCAATAAGGAAACTTCAATCCAAAAAGAGATCACTCTGGCGGAAAAACAAATCTGGTCACGTTGCCAATTTCAAAAACCGATACAAAAATCTATGCCACCAGATAAAGACCGAATGCACCAATTATCACATTAAACAAGAGGAAAACCTTCTAAGCACCAATTCCACCCGCGCTTTTTACAATTTTGTAAACAACAAACTAAAAGACTCAAGGTCCATCCCTCCCTTGATAGGACCTGATGGTAAAGACTGCAACGACGACACCATTAAAGCCAACATCTTTAACACATTCTTCGGCTCAGTATTTGTAAACAGCAATGGATCTTGCCCAATATTTCCTAGCCGTACCACAGATAACAACAATGATCTAATACATATCGATTTCACAGAAGACAATGTTGAAAAAGCAATACGCAACCTAAAACCATCTCTATCTATTGGACCGGACGGAATATGTGCCTACTTCTTAAGAAAGCTATCCTCTGCCATAGCCAAACCTCTAAGCATAATCTTTGAAAAATCTTTCAGAACCAGCTCCTTGCCTAACCTATGGTCACAAGCCACAGTCATCCCCATCTTCAAAAAGGGAGACCCAAGCCTAGTTGAAAACTACAGGCCAATCTCCTTATGCTGCGTCACCTGTAAAGTCATGGAATCAATTATTAACCAATCCATCATCCTTCACTTAGAGACAAATAACCTACTCTCCAATAAACAATTTGGTTTCAGGAAAAAACTATCCTGTAATCTGCAACTCTTACACTGCAAAAACATATGGACGACACAACTCGACCAGGGCAAAACAATAGACGCAATCTACATAGACTTCTGTAAAGCCTTTGATTCAGTGGTACACGACAAACTACTCCTAAAAATAAAATCCTATGGTATCTCTGGACAACTGAATAACTGGATAGAAGCATTCCTGTCAAACAGACAACAAATGGTCAAAATCGGGAGCGTCCTATCAAATCCAGTACCTGTCAATAGTGGTGTTCCCCAAGGCAGTGTTCTAGGACCAACTCTCTTCATACTCTACATAAACGACCTCTGTGATCATATTAAGAGCAATTGCGTTCTCTTCGCTGATAACGTAAAGCTGTTCAATACCACAGACAATACTGCTACCCTTCAAAAAGATCTTGACTATGTATCCGAATGGTCAAACAAATGGCAACTTCAAATCTCAACAAATAAATGCTCTGTCTTACATATTGGCAAAAAAAATCAGAAAATAAAATACAAGCTGAATAGTCAAGATCTTGTTGATGACCCAAGCTCTGTAAAGGACCTTGGAATACTCACCTCTAATGATCTAAGTGCTAGAGCACACTGCAACTACATAGCCAAAAAGGCATTAAGAGTTGTTAACCTAATCCTACGTAGCTTTTTCTCTGGTAATATCACACTACTAACCAGAGCATACAAAACATTTGCTAGACCAATACTCGAATACAGTTCATCAGTCTGGAATCCACACTACGTATCTGATATTAGCACAATTGAGAAAGTCCAGAAATATTTCACAAGAAGAGTTCTCCACTCCTCTACTCGCTGTAGAATACCTTATGCCACCAGACTTGAAATTCTAGAACTAGAAAACCTTGAATTACGCCGTCTTCGGTCTGACTTAAGCATGGTATACAAAATCATACATTGCAATGTCCTACCTGTCAATGAATACTTCAGCTTCAACCATAACAACACAAGAGCACACAATAGATACAAACTCAAAGTAAACCGCACCAAACTTGATTGCAGGAAATACGACTTCAGCAATAGAGTGGTCAATGTCTGGAATACTCTACCCGACTCTGTAGTTTCTTCCCCAAACCCCAAAAACTTTAACCTTAGACTGTCTACTATTGACCTCACCCCTTTCCTAAGAGGTCTGTAGGGGGCGTGCATAAGCGCACCAACGTGCCTACCGTCCCTGTCCTATTGTTTCTCCTATTCTTTTATTTTTCTTATATGTAACCATTTCATGTATTCACAACTATGTATACATTTATACTTATTATCTTGTAAACAATTGGCAAATCAAATAAATAAAATAAAAATAAAATAAATGTATGTATGTATATATGTATGTATGTACCAAATCGGGTGAACTTCAACATACAGTATATAGGATTGCAGATTAGGTATTTGCTTTTAATTATTTTATTTCCAAAATCTTAAAAATGGAGTATCTTAATCTTTTAATTTTCTTACCTAAAGAAAATATTTCCCAGAGTAATACTCCATATGACCAAACATCACTTTTGGTACTATAGACTTTATCAAATATAGATTCTGGTGCCATCCATTTGAGGGGAAGACGTGCCTGCAACAAAAGTTAATTATGAATCCTGTAAGTGTTTTACAGAAGTCGATTTAAAGTTTTCTTGGATTGTAGATCATAAACCTTTTAAAAATACAGGTAGGATGCTAAATTTTTCTCCTGGCCCAGCCTTAGGGCCTTAGTTCTAATCTAGGCAACTCCTAGTGGTGCCAGGATGTAGTATATAGATTTAGGTAGCATCTTGCCATATCTGAGATGTGTGTCCAAAGAGAATATAATTTCACAGATTGAATGGGTTGACTCAGCATACTAATCCCATGCTAACAAATATAGCACGCTGTGCCCAAAACAAACCATAGTAGTATGCCTGATGTGATGTTTTGGATCACATTCAATATGCGAGGCATGTATGATTTCCCACAATATACAGAAGCCCCCCCCCCCAAAAAAATCCCATTCTATTTTAGCCCTATCATGTTATATGAATCCAAGCCTATGAGAATTTCAGTAAGATTTCAGTGCAATGACTCTGCTCAGTGCCACTGCCGCGTGACTTCTACAATTGCTTAATTCGTATTTGGGAACTCTGACATTGTATTGATGGAATATTACCAACATTAGCCCCTTCTTCAGAACTCAGAACATACAGGTGGCCAAATGGTCTTTTCTGATGCTCCACTGCATCTTGGGAGATATAATAAGATTAGGGCAAACTTCTCTCTAGGTCTAAATAGAATCAGTAACGTCCTGCTTTTAGCAATTTTCTGCTCCCTTTTTTGGACTCTGAGGGTTGTTTTTAATCTTATGCGAAAGCTAAGTAGCATGTATATTCTCTTTGCTATATTTTACAAACAGAAAGCAGAATTCTGGATCTAGGCAGCTGATCTTTGCTTTCTGCTATCGTAGCAAGATGTAGGTCAAAATGTGTGCCCCTTTCTCCGCTTTCTAAATTGTATCTGGATAGCATGCTTCCTAAACAATTATATGTTATTATTTATATTCCAAAGGTCAACCCCAACCAATAGGGCTAACCAATAGGTCGCAGGGTTTGTTATGAAGTCATCAGAGTCCCAATCTGGCCCACCACTGAAAAAAAGCAAGTATCTTGTTCTTTTACGCCTTGACTCTAAACCTTTTCATTGGCTATTCTGGCAAGGTTAGTCCAGAAATAAAATATCAACATATAAACTATTTTAAAAAAAAGTAAAAGAACTGATGAACATTTCCGAGCATTGTTGTGGAGGATGCAAACAAGCACAATGTATACAACTCATCTGGATTGCTCATTTTGGTGCTAAAGGAAAGAGCACCAATGCTTTTAGGGGCCTTTTAGCTTCAGAGAATGTAAATACTGAAAGAGCTTTTTCATGAGCTGTTCAGAATGATAAACAAAAGAGCAAATACCAAGTACAGTAGCATCCCTACTTACGTCGCCTTTTCTCACATAATCAGGATTTTTATAAGTATCTCTTGCAAGGCCAAAATCACAGATCTTCACAACGTTGTTGTCAGATAAGAGGATGTTTCTGGCTGCTAAATCACGATGGATGCACTATAAGAAAGTAATTGCATAAAAAATAATTTATTAAAGTTCCATTTCCTCTAACACAGTAGATGCTTGTATTTTATCTTTTAAGATGCTGTATGATTCTTGATTTTTCAGGGATATATCCAAACATGGAAGACTTAAGCTGACTTAATAGTAATTTCTTTTCCCACGGATAGAGTTTCTCTGTAGAGTCCAGACTTATTAAAAGTGACCTTTCTTCTCTAATTTATTCTAAACAGATTGAACTAAATAGTTCTGGTTAACAGTGATGTGAGTCATCAGTCGAGATATCTTAATGACACTTGCTGGGAAAAGCTGGCTGCTCACAGTAATTTCTATTTATACTTTAAAAAAGTATATTTTTAGCACATCTTTCTGCTTTAATTGGATAACAATACACAGTTAACTGAAAACATTAAAACGAATGATATGAAACAAAGGCAGGATGCAGTGGTGGGATTCAAATTTTGTTACTACCGGTTCTGTGGGCATGGCTTGGTGGGCATGGCAGGGGGAGGATACTCCAGTCAGAGGTGGTATTTGCTGGTTTCCACTACCGGTTCTCCAGAACTGGTCAGAACCTGCTGAATACCAGCTCTGGCAGGATGGCATATCATAACACACAGAACACAAATTCTTATAGAGGGATAACTTTTGTTTACAAATTCTGCCTGGAATCAAGGAATTAAAAGAAGAATAACAAAGTTGTAAGGGACCTTGGAGGTCTTCTAGTCCAACCCCCTCCAGCGGAACAACTATAATCATTTCAGACAAATGGCTGTCCAATCTCTTCTTAAAAACTTCCAGTGTTGGAGCATTTACAACTTCTGGAGGCAAGTCGTTCTATTGATTAATTGTTCTAACTATCAGGACATTTCTCTTTAGTTCTAGATTGGGTCTCTCTTTGATTGCCCTGTCTTGGAGAAACTAAGAGTGGTGCAGAATTTCCCCTTCAAACTGTACATATATTAAAGTCGGTTAGCACCATCTCTGACAAACTTGGTACATTATATCTTCTCACAAGGCATTCTGGAAATTTTCATCCTATTCTGCCAACTGAAAAAAACACACATTTTCTCCTATCTCGCTTTCTTCCAATGATAGTCAGGAAGCGCATATGGCTTTTTGCATAAAGGTGTGTGTTTGTGGGAGTGAAAAAGTGTGAAGGAAAATAGCTGTTTTCTAAATCCCTGAACTGAGGTTTAAACAAAATTGTTTAAATCATGTTTTAGCTATTACTATTTAATGTTAGTGAGAAACAATTTAAAAGCTTCCATTTTATCTACACAAAATGTATACTTGTTGACATACATACATGCATACACTATCTGTTACACAACAATTAAGAGCACAGAATTTCTACTTTTTTAAAAAAAGCAACGTGAGTCTTATACATCTGATGGAAAATTGTTAAAATGTGAGGAATGATACATCATGCATGCATACATATGTGCAATTGTACATACCCATCACACTATTCCCGTCTGGAGAAAGCAGTGTTAAATAGAGAGTACAAAAAGAATAATAAATAATCACCACAGGGACCCATGCATATTGTCCTTTGCTGCTTACCATGACTTTGGTCAGTTAAAGCTTTCACTACACTAATTTTTACTACAGTAATACAGTAGAGAGAAGATATAAAGTAGATTACTAGCATTAGCTGTACCCATGTCAAGTATAATGTTTTCTGCCATCAATAATGATGAATACTTATGGACATTGGAGTCAATATGCAAGAAAAGCAACCAAAGCCCATTGTAATGCAGACATGTCCTCTTCTTTCTAAGCAAGCCAGCCTCTTCTAGAGCCTGAAGACTACTGTGCCAACCCATTACCCTTGACTTTTCTTCTCCCTTGGAACAGCTTATCCCAAGCAAGAACGTCCCCCACTTTTATAGCTTCCCATAGAATAGTTAAATCCTGCCTTTTCCAGAAGACGGTGTTAAATACATTTACTGTTAGTGTCGGTGTCATTCAGTGTTATTAATGCTCATGCACCCGCAGCTGAACTCAAGCAAGCTCTTAGCAAAATAGGTTGAAGGCATTTTTCATATTGTCTTCTTCCCAACTGAGAGCATCTGTGACAAACTGTATCTGTTTCAGTCTGTACTGGTTATGCAGCCAAAGGATGAACCACACCAGGATTATATCTTATTTATTGGGGATTTTTAAAATTACTTGTATTGTGCTTTATACTATGCTTCATTTTGTACACCACCTAAAGTTGGCGGAATAGGGTAGTTTAGAGATCCAATAAATAGCTAAAAAAAATACTCAGCCTTACAACCCACTGTAGGCATATTAGTTAACAATTCTTTTTGTTGTTGTTGCTATTCTGGAAGCCAATGGAAAAAAGGAAATCTAACCTTTTGAGATGACAAGAATTCCATGCCTCTGGCTACCTGAAAGCTGTAAGAAATAAGATCTTCCATGGTGAGGGGCCACTTGTAGAAATCACTGACATCTGAAATCAAAGTGGCATGGAGGTGGTTAATATGACCTCATCCTGACAGTAATTCATTTATTCTCCCTAGAGCATTTCAAACTTAGTTCACTAATGAGGGAGCGGGGAGGGGGAAAACCTTATGATATACCAAAGACTTCTCCTTGGATAAGAAAGAGACCACGGAAACAGTAACACGTCTTCCTGTCTGACTGAGGAATTCTGTAAATAAGCTTATTTTAAACCATCTTTTCTTGGAGCTGAGCGTCTCCCACGGATGTTTACGAGGGTGATAAATGGAGCAAGAAAATGTCAAAGATGCAGAGCATGACTGTAAAACTACACAGGCTGTATAGAAAAAGGAAGGAATTAATAATACCTACCCTCCTCTTCCTCCTCCACATCACTTAAACTTTTATCTTCCTGAAATCCAGAGCTTGCTAAGCTTTCTCGACTTGGGACATTCTCCAGTCTTTTTTTTTTATCGCTGATGGGCTCAACATCCTTCTTCTCTGTCAAAGGGTCTCTTTGAATGGATCCATACTTGTTTATTTAAACAAGGAGAAATTATTGGCAAAGCAACGTGGAATTTCAATTTTCCATGACCCGCTCATTTTAAAACACTTTTGAGTTCCACCTATTTCAATTTGATAATTAAACATGGACTTTTAATTTTTTTTCTACTGCAATTAAAGGAATAAAGCCAGCGACATTCGTATTTATCAAGGAGCCATTTAAACTAGAGAGTTTTAAATCTCATTAATTGGAGTCAATTCTAAGTATGACTAACTTTGGATCCAACCCAATGTGATTTTGAAGTGTTTAACATTACTTAGGCTGAGCCGTAGGTTATTTGTGTCTTTCCATTCAAAAAGGTTTGAAATGAGCCAGTGAATTCCTTCCATAACTTAATGTTCTTCAGTGATGAGAATTAAGTCCCTTGGAAATGATTCATGCAAGTATGTAAAACCACTTTTGTTAGAAAAAAACATTTTCTCCATCTTCAGTTTTCTAGTTAATTTGTCAGGGGAAAACATATTTCATTTGCTTTAATGCAGCTAACTATCTACTCGATATTTTAAACTCTAGCTTGATCAATTTAAGATGGTCTGGAACGAAAGCAGAGAGGGTAAGCACAATGTCCTACAGAGATTTAAAAAATATTGACAGTTTAAAGAAGCATGGAACTTATAACATTCTTTCTACATAATGACTAATCAACTACAATGTTTGTATATATGCTATCAACTTTTAAGAGGGAAAAGTCATAATACTAAATCTACAAATATATAAATAATCAACAGCTTTTAGGGCATACATCCCTTTGATTGAATTTTGTGTGTGCAAAGCTTGCCAATACCATGTTCAGGGTTGATACCAGCGGGAGGTAGTTGAGAAGAGACTTTCTGCCCTTGGCCCCTACTATGTGGGGGTACTACTCTCTCTTCTCCTACTTAATATCTTCTGTATATGAGGCTGCTGGGTGGGGTCAACCACTGCCATGATGTAAGGCAGAGGTGTCAAATTCAAGGCTGGATCTGGCCCATGGGATACTTAGATCCAGCCTGTGGGTCTGTCCTGGAAACAGTGAAGGACCGGCCCATACAACCTCCATTTTCACTGGCAGGGGGTTGTAGGAAGCCATCACGGCTGAAAATGGACCTTGCAAAGGCCGCATGTGGCTCACCCAAGCTCCATTTTCACTGGCAGAAGATTGCAGGAGGGCATCGCAGTGGAAAACAGAGCTCACAAGGACCATGCATGGCTCACCCGAACTCCGTTTTCATTGGCAGAGGGTTACAGGAGGCCATTGCAGCTGAAAACAGAGCTTGGGAGCCCGTTTTTGCTGGCAGAGCACTTGGGCCACCACAGGCACACCCAACATGAGTGACATTAAGCTAGCCACACCCTCCCTGGCCATGCCCACCCCATCCCCCTGGGGTCAAATACAACCCTGATGCGGCCCTCAATGAAACTGAGTTTGTCACCCCTGGTGTATGGTGTCATCAGTATGCTGATGATATCCAATTATACATCTCTGCCCCCACTGAACTAAGCGATGCTGTAGTCATCTCATCTCAGTGCTTGGAGACTGCGAGGGTCTGGACGGGGGACACTGGCATTAGCTGAATTCTAGCAAGACTGAGTGGCTTTGAGTTTTAGGGCCTTCCAGTTCTAGGACTATGGTACATCTTTGGTACTAGATGGGGTTGTACTGCCCTATACAGACCCAGTGCTTCATCTGATGATCCTCTTGGACTCAGAACCCCTGCTCAAAGATTAGGTGGCAGTTGTGCTTGGAGGGCGCAGCTTTCTGTTGTGAGCCATTTGCTCCCATACTCGGATCAGGAGGCTCTGCTTAATGTTAATCATACCGTAGTCACCTTCCATTTAGATTTTGCTAATGCATTCTACATGGAGCTGCCCTTGAAGGGTATCCAGAAGCTTCACCTGCTGCTAAATGCAGTGGTGTGGGTTGTTATGTGTGGCCCTAAAACAGCACACAGCTCCATGAGCAATGTTGGTTTACCAGTGTGCTTCCAGGTCCAATTCAATGTCCTCCTTTTAAACCTTGAACGTTTTTCTTAGCATAGGGTCAGGTTATCTGAAGGACTACGTCTCTTCAGATCTAGTTGTCCCAGCAGATCTGGCAGAGAAGGCATATTGTGGGTCCTATCTTACTAAGGAATTAAACTTGGCAGGTCACAAGAGAGAGGCTATGGCCACGGCATCCACATTGTGGAATCTTTTACCACTGAAAATGAGGATAGCTTCATCTCTTACAATGTTCCACAAATCTCTCAGGACCTGGCTACGACATTAGTCCTGGGAATTCCAGGGATCCAGGAAGATCCTGCAGTGGTTTTCTTACAATGGCTAAAGTCATCTTCTCTGCTTGTATGTTTTTTATAGTTTTTAAAATGACTTTATATATTTAAAGCCTTTTGTTTTTAATTCAGTGTTGTACATCCCTCAGAACTATATTTTTGTAAGATGTGCAACCCTATAAACCTGATATGAAAAAAAATATATTGAATGCTTAGAAGAGAGATTTCTCAGGACTATACTTCATGATTAGCTTTAAGAAGCGTATACAGTTCCCTGCCTTTCAGTTCCAATTTTGAAAAAAATATGTAGAATTGTCCTTCATGTTAACCTGTATACAATGCTAAGATTTGGAGCGTAGTAATGGTTTCTTCAAAACTTCAGTTAGATTACAGTTTCCTGTCTCCAGCTCAGCAAAGATATAAGAGGTATCTTATAACATGTAAGAAGTACTAAGATTCTAATTATAGATAAGTATATCTATTCCATATATATCTATATGGCTATATACAACCCAAATAGTATTGAAATTAAGATTCACAAAATTTATGTTTCTTCCTCTCTTTATTCAAAAACATGCACACACAAATAGATTCACATAAAATTAGGAAGAGAACTGTATTCACTTAATGTGGCTGTTACAAATACGATTGTGATTTTGTAGGACATATTTGGCTAAGGAACTCTCAGTTGACTATTCCTGCCCTACCACCTGTTGGAGGTGTAAATCCAATGGTATTAATTCTTCAATACTTTCTGACTTCCTAATTGCACGGGAGCAGTTGTAAATATAATGATTTATTTGATGTCCCTTCCCTGTTTATTCCTCCGATTGCTCTTTGCCTGAGATTGCTAATCTGATGTCATTTCCTACTGCTTTTCTTCTAATGAACAGAACACATATTCTTTGACTCGTGTCCTAGTAGGATGCAGTTAGATACTAGGCTTTGTCTCCCTGTATAATGCATTTCCTGCAAATAAATTGCCTTTAAGTTATAGTAATAAAATTTGTGTCACTCATCAGATTCCCACTTTCAAGAATGCTCACATGCCCACACATCACTTTGACCTCTAATCTAAAAATTTTTCAGAGATCCCTATTTATTTGAGCTATATCTGTAGGAATAGATTTACATGACCATTCTGATGTTGAACTGTAATCCTGTAACTTGATGAATCAAAGCTATAAGGGGAAAACCTCTCAACCCACTGGTGTCTTATTTCTGAATTCTTTTGAGATCATTTTGTTTTGATACAGTTATACAGTGAGATAAAATGTAAGTTTGTGATCAGCTGAAAAAATCATAATTAGGCAATTTAGGCATTACCTTGTGGGTAGAAAATAAATCCCTTTTGCTCTTCAAATAACCTGACAAATTTCCATATTTGCAATATTCAACTATCACCATCAATGGTCCTGTGAACAACATGAATGACAAGGTGAATATAGAAAATGCATTTCTGCTAATGGTACCAGCATTGACTTAAGGTAAAATCTCTCTTAAAGGTAAAACAATAAAAAACAAAATTAAGATGAACTTAGCATTAATTGTCCTACTCTCTATCATAACATAAAAGCAAAACAAGTAATAAAACTAACAAATAAGAGCTTCAGATTGATTTGGTTCTTTTTTTTTTTTACCTCTGCCCTTTGTACACGCTCCCAGTAGATTCACCACATTAAGATGATGGCCTATATGTGTCAAAATCTTCAATTCGGTCATCAGAGCTTTATGTTCACTTGCTGTTGCTCCTTCTGCAAGGATTAGATAAATTAGGGGGGAAAGATTGAGTGCCAGCTCCATGACTAGGTTTCTCTGGTCTAGATTGCCAGATGGTTTTATTCCTAGCCAATGCTTCTTGCTGAACTTCAGATCACTTCATTGCTGGAGTTCTTTTAATAGTTGGAAATTCAGACTGCAATTATGTCACCTGTTCCATAAACTTAAACTTGGGACTGCTGTGCTACTGGCTGTTCTCTCCAAGTTGGAGCAAGTTACTTCTTAGCTGTTGGATCCTTTTTTATATTGGAGACCTGCCTTTCTTCCTCTTCAGTTCATTCTATTTACATATATGGAATTTGTTGATGTGAAATCTGGATCTGGAAATGTGGATGATGTTCCAGGACACCCATGGAACTGGCTAAGGGTTGAGTTTTGTCTATAAACCTTTCACCAGGAGGTCAGTGGTTGATCATTTCAGCTTTTATAATTTAATGATTAATGTTTGGCATCAATGAGGGGAAGAGAGAGGGAGGGAAGGAGAAGAAACTATAGTGATTATAGCTCAGCCATTTCCAAAAGCTGTTGTCTATCACTATATTGTCACAAAAATGCAATATATTATGGAATAAATTGCAACGATTACAAATTTTGAACATTTGAAAATGAGGATGCATTCATTTTGATTACCCTTAACTATGAGTCAAATTTTGTGCCCCATAAACATAAGGATTTTCTCGACTCAAGCTCATCATACCTTTCAGCATTTTCACCGCAACTACTTTGTACGTGGGTGACTTTTTAATTCCGAATGCAACTGCTTGCACTACTTTCCCAAAAGCACCTCTCCCGAGTGTCTTTCCTGCATCAAAAAGAAATCATAGTTGTTTGTGACATTATTTTTAAAAGTGAGACAGCTTTGGGTGAAATTACAATATTACACTCTCCAACATGGTTTTTCTTGGTATGAACATGGCTGTTTTCTACCAAAAATTCGTGAATATACAGAATATGTGATAAAATGAACCGGTATTATATTGACCTACGTGAAATTATTTTAAGTGTAGAATTTTAAGTTATGAGAAAAATAGGAATAGAGACTGTGAGCTCAATATGGTCAGTAAGGGGGAAAATTACTACTGTATATTTTAGCCTCAGCTATTGTGTTTTTGGTAACAACACGAACATCTGAAATGTTTCTGGGTTATATTAAGAGAGATTTTTAACAAATGACAAATTGTCTCAAAATTCCAAGAACATTGCACTATAAATAAAAAACATTATCTCAGCCAATCTCTTGGGCCAATTCACTATTCTCATAATTTGGCTAGTACAGCCAAGTTTGTATTCATATTTTTAAAATTTTTAAAATAAATTCATTGATTTTCTTATTTTTTCTGGAACCTGGTCAACATGTTTTACAACTCTGCTTGTTTAAGACCAAATGCCTGAGATAACAACTTTTCCCAACTATTTTTGAGATCTTCGGCTAATATCCTTTTTCTGGCCTTCCTGGTAGAGATTTAATATAAGTCTTTGTCAGCAATGGCACCCATACTATGGAGCACCTTTTCTGTAGAATTGGCGTAAGACCTACACTGTGAACTTTTCAGCTCTTACTTGAAATAGCTTTGAAAAGAGAAGACAGAAGAGATAGTAAAAAAAATTGTTCTGGGATCAATGAAATTCAATAGCCGCTCTTTGTGGTGAATGGACAAGTTGGAAAGTCCTAGCTGATAATGGTTTCTATTGAACTCTGGCACTGAGTAGGAAACTGGAGATCTAAATAGCCTCTCCTACACTATGATACTAGGATTCTATATTACTGTTCATTTGTTCATATATATATATATATATACTGAGGATTTTGCATTTGTTTTTTTAAAGTCCATTGATACTTTATTTACACACTGAAATAAACAACTCATAAACCTCATTCTATATAGTCCTTAAATACTACAAAGGCATTGCTGTATTTGAATATTGACATTTTTTTTCTAGATATGACTTCTGTCTAAAGAATCTCAGTTTCATGGAAAAAGCTAATAAAACTCCCTTACTCCTACCCCATTCTTGGTTTTTTTGTTGTACTCTGGTTTTAGTCACATTACATTTTACTGCCAAATGTAGGCTCTTAAGGGTTTGTTGAACATACTTGAAAACTTTTAAGACCTTGATGAAATTCTCCTTGTTTTATAAAATGCATAAATCCCAAGGGCATAGGGATTTAATTACACAGAAAGCAATTTTATTACTAAATGAAAAGTGAGCTACATCTCATTTGAAGCAACGGCAGAATAGACTCCGAAGTTGTTGTTTTTCTAGCTACAATGCATGGTTAAGTTGTATGGGGCCAGAAGGCAACCATGGCTTTTCATGAAGGAAGAGGATGAAGAGCTGATGCCACTGTAAGGCAAAGTGCACCACCATTGACACTGCTGTGTGTAAAGGACCATCTTCTTCAACAGAAGGAACCAAATGGACTTTGGAAATGATTGTGATTCTCTGTGATTAAATTCCTAGATATTTTATAAAATCTTATTTGCAATTTCATTTGTGAATGGGTTTAGGAAGGGTTGCACATTATCAAGAACTGTTCATTTCCAGTAAGGAAGCTGCCTTCTAACAGGCCAGATACTTGGACTGTTGTAGCCCAGTTTTGACTATTTTGATTAACAGGGTATATTCAAGATTTTGTAACAATGAATTTTGAGACTCAAGTCCACCCTACCTCTGCAGCAAATTCTCCTTTCTTCTGACCTCTGAAAAATGATGCTGTGCCTTTAGTTGGGGTCTTTTATGATATTAGGCCAAAAGTAAGATAGGAGAAAGCAATTAAATTTTCTTACGTGGCTTATTATCAGGGCTTCTATTTTTGCCACGGTGTAACCTCAGCATTCTTAGCAAAATGTCTGAATATACTGACTGAATCTGGTGTTTACATCCTGAACATACTTTATATGGTATAGATTTAAACAGGACTGCAACCAAGAATTTACAAGCTCAAAACGTTTTCCAATGAAGATTGTTTTAGTAGAATAGTACACGAAAGACCATCAGACAGAGTGAATAGATTTTTTAATGTACAATGTTCTGTTAGATATAAAAATGATCCATTTATTTTACTAAGACATCAAGTATGAGAGCCCTTATGCTTCAAAATTGGGAAAAAATTGGCTTCATTTCATTAAAAAAACATTTTTTTATGAAATGAAAATTCATAAATTTTCATTTCACCAGAATTGTTGGAACTTGGATAGCTTACAAATTTGATTAATAAATATATAATACATAAATAAGAAAAATAAATGCAGCTCTTAGACCTTGGAACAACAATTTTTGATGATGATGTTATCTTTTATAACCAGGTAAAGATTTTCTTTGTTTTGTACATTTTAGTGATGAACTGTATCACTGTAATTTTCAATATACATTTGCAGCTATCTTCTCTTGTAGTTTTCACTACATTGGATTTAAATCTAACTGCTATACTTTTGTGAGCCAGCTTGAAATACTCAATGCTGTCTTTTAAAAATATCTATTTCTGGATTATTTTACTATTTGTTGGCTTTGTTGTTCCTAGTCTTTCCCAACAGAAAAAGTTTCAATTATTTATATTATTATTATTATTATTATTATTATTATTATTATTATTATTATTATTATTATTATT